TGCTTTAGAATATATATAAATTTAATTTAGATTAATTATTATTTGGAATTTTCTCTTTATAACTGTTTTAAGTTTTTAAACTAAATTAGCTTTATATTTTCTAAAACAAAGACCATCACTAATAAATAGATGATAAAACTGCAGTTTAATCTACCAGTTTTGGTCATTACAAGAGATTTTAAATTATAGTAAATAATTTAAGAATCTAAGCAATACTAAATCAATTTATAAAGCATGTGTGCGCAATTTAGAAAGCATTATTATTGCATTCTACTCATTCAAAATTATATCAATACATCACCTGTCATTTATAAATTTGTATCTTTGAATGAATGTCTTAATTCTTAATCATTCCTCAATCAACAGAGAATTAGTTAATCTGCCATTTTACAAGACAAATTACTTTATATCATCACAAAATATCTATCATTTAAATTAGAAACATTTCTCTAAATTACTAAAAATATGTTTCGATCTGTCATCTACATTGTAAGGATCTGAAAATTTTGCATGTGCGTTTGATCTGTTTTATATGCTTGATGCAAAAGTTTTTGTTGCAGATAAGCTTTAAAAACTCTTATTTACAGAACTTCACTTATTTTAAAATACTATTTGCTTAGTGCTCTCAAACCTTACAATTCATCTTTGTAGTATTCTTCTCAATATTTAAAACAAAAAAAAGTTCTAGAGACGATTCAAGGTTTGAAAGCACTAAACAAATGGAATTTTAAAATAAATGAAGACAGACTACACGACAGTTTTGAGAATTGGAATGACATAGTAATTGTTTTCTTTGTTATTTTTTGAAAATTGTTTTACATTTAAGTTATTTCAAACATGTTTCTTGTTTGTCTCTCTCAATAAAATAAAATATACTTGCTTGTTACCGTCAGCATCACCAAACAATGCTTCAACCAAGACTTACAGAGTTCTATCTACAAGTAAGAATGTTGCATAAAATGAATCTTTAACTAAAAAAAAAAAAAATTTAAGTTTAAGATACAGCACAAATCTTACAAAAAATATATATACATAATTGAATGAAAAGTATATGCAAATATAAATTTATTATTCTTAAGCTATTTATATATTTTGTTTGCATAGTAATCATAAGTTTACTCAACTTACGTGTATAAAAATGTATGTATGCTTATATATATATATATATATATATATACACACAACATATATAATACACACAAACAAGCAAACAAATACAAATATATTTTACAGTTTTATACATTAATGGCTTTTATGTTAACTAAAGAAAATATTTCAAACTTGACTTATTGGTAAACGGTAGATAAAAACTTGACATTTGAATTTTTATATATATTTTTTATTTTATTATTATATATTTAAAATTTTCTAACAGTAGCAATTTATACATATTCCGTTATTTTTGTAATGTACAAAATTTCATTGTCGTACTATACAAAAAAAGTAATAGGAAACGAATTGTTTTTTTTTCTAAATTATTTAAAATGTTTCTCTTTTTTTTTAGATTTTTTTTATTTAAAATACAACTTTTTACAGTTTAATTTTAGAGTGTAATTGTAACCTATTTTCGTGTTGGTTATAATTAATTTGGAGTTATTTTTTAAAGTAAATTAAATGATAAGATTTGTCTCACATCATTTCTTTTATACATAATTCTAAATTAGTTTATCTTAAATATATACAAACAAAATATGAAATAAATTTTAACAATTTCGTCAACATAAATGTCTAGAAAATAGTAAATTGTCTTACAAAAGATTGCTATCTTTGTGCTTTTTTAAAATAAGCCAAAAACCTTCAGCAAATTGTTTAAAAGTCTGCCCCACCTTAACCAATAAAATGAAGGTATCAATAATAACAATAATTTTTCATAAACAAATAAATGGGAACTTAGAAAGCTTTGGAATCAACAATACAGTTGAACTTCTGCATAACAAAATTGCTACGAAAACAATTTATCATTTGAAATATTGTTGTGTTGCAAGAAACTGTGATCTCGTAGAAGTGACATTAAAATGTAACTTGCAAATTAATAATCAATACGAGTCATTTTAAACATTTTCTTACCATTTATGTTTATTAAATCAAGCTGAGAGCGAGTCATAAAGTAATTTAATTGAGTGGCTCCTCACGTAATTTTAGTTCGAGAACCTTTCGGAAGATATTATCATTTTATAGCTTGCAAATTTAGAATGTAGTAAGTATGTTATATTAATGGTACAGATGTGAAATTAATCTTCTAATTTTCAAATCTTCTATCATTAGACTGCTTTTTTTCAATTAGAAAATTGTTTTTTGTCATCAGCTTATTACAAAAATAACTTTCGTTAGAAATTGCATTCATAACATTGTTATAGAATTGTTGACTAAAAAATGTAACACATTATTTTGAAATTACTTGCTGCAAAGATCATAAAATAACCCTAAGCATTAATAAATACTTCATTTTGCAATTAATTTGCTTCTATATCAAGCAATGTATGTGATAATGCTACTGTAAAACATGCAAATATGTTCATTGAACTGTGAGATATTACCTTTATAGACTGTATAGGATATGTCAAGCAAAAATACAATACCTTTCCAGATCTGCAGCTTCGTTACAATGTAATTTCGTGTGAAATAATTCCTAATTTTGTATTAAGCAGAAAAAATTAATTTGCTGACACAGATTTATAGTTAGAAATCATACCAATTGTAACTACAATATTTATCTTATTCTTGTTGTAATGTTCTAAATCTATAGCTCTTGAATAATAGAATAACTTCTAAAAAAATTATGCAAGTAAACAGACTGTGCAGCACAATAATCTGCATAATTTGTGTAAAAATAAAACTATACTTTCTCTTCCAGTTCACATTAGTTTTTGATCATTTGAGCAAAAATTTGCTTTTTTTTATCTGTACCAAAAGTCGATATAACTTCCAGATTGAAATTATTTTAAATGCTATTTTTTAGAAGAATAATTACTGTTTGGCAAATGTATAATTAATTTTTGCTTGAAAAAAAAAATTCCAGAAAAAAATCACTCTTAATTTTACAAACTGGAAATTATTCATTATCTACAATTTCATTCAAAATAGAGAGAATAAAAAAACTTTTAAATCTCAAACATATTCAAATTCTCTGGAGAAATTTTGCTAAACAAAAGTTCAACTTTATCTTTCTTACTTTTCAACAAATTCTGCAATATGAATGGTAAGTACTCGATAACGATCGGAAAATATTTTTGCAGTGTTCTCTTCCCAATGAAATTAAACGTGATAAATTTTTTATATGACTTTAAATTAAATATAGAAGATAGAAAAAACAAAAGAATTTCTGCTTTTATTCTAAATTTTACGATTACCTGGCAGAATATAGCTGGTTTTTAACAAATGCCTCTCGTACTCACTTACGGAAGGAACCAGACGGCACTGCCGAAAGTCCATTCTTTAACCGTTGGCAAACAACATTTTGCAAATATTCGCAAGTGGAAAAAATTTACATATCCCGACAAATGTAGAGAATGAAGAAGACCCATTTACATAGTCCGAAAATTGTCTTCTAATTTAATTTCACAGTGCTTATTAAATGTGTTTAGGAATTTCATCGTTTTAAAAACTGTTTTTTTTTATTTATTTATTTTGGAGCTACCATAACACCCTCTTCTTTATCTTGATTTACAACATTTTTATCTTCGACGTCGGCATTTTCCTAGAAATTTTTCGGAAAAGTTTTAAAATAATAAAAATAAAGTTTTACGTACGAGAAATATCTATTAAGCTTCCGACTTAATTTTACCTGATCGTCAAAATCGGCATCCTTAAAGGCATTAGGATGATGGGCCTGCTCATCGGCCATTAACTGATCGTCACCGTTATTCGGTTCTCCCTCTTGATCGTCAGCATTATCATCATCACCTAAAATGTTAGCAATTTTTTTTAATACTTGAAAGAATTTAAATTTTTATAATCAAACAATTTGGTTAAAGCAGGAGGAAAATGTTGTAAAGGTTTCCAAGTATTAATTATAATGTAATTTTAACAATAAATCTTAGTTCATCTCATCATCTTTCAAATAATTTGTTATAAAATATTTTAAATGTAACAACATAATTAAAAATTAAATATTTACATCAAAGTCAAGAAATACAGTTCTAAAAAGAATAATAAATGAGGCAATTAAATTCAAATCTACGTGGTCCACAGGAATTTTTGGGGAGGTGGCCATCTTGAATACATTGGGCTTCATTCCTCACCACCTGTTCACACCCATCGTGGAATGATTAAAAAAGGACCTCAATGTCTACAACATGGAAAGAGTAAAAACAAATTCCTTGTTGGTACCATCAAGTCTACACCTCGAAACTAAACTTTACATTTGATAATTTCACAGATGTTAGATTGTTTAGCAGTGTATTAACAACAGAGATACTATATAATCTTGACTTCACCTTACAGAAATGAAATCTTTACTGCTAGAAATTTATTCTAGCCAAAGAGATTTCCACAAGATGTGAGGACTAATTAATTTAAGCAATTTCCTAAACATGAATCAGGTAATTTTTTCTGTTAGATATTTTTTTTTATATCACAAAAATCAAGAGAATGGCTTATTAAAATACATATTTTGCTTTTAATTGTGATTTAATGTATGAGGCAGTATTGTTCTGATATATAATAATACTTACCATCTTCTGCGTAGTCTCCATCTTCTTCTTGTTGTCTATGCTTTCCATTTTTCTCATCTATCATTTGAGGGCCTCTCTTTAAACCCTCTACATCTTGACCTATTTTTCTTTCTTGATTATTATCCAGCGGTGGCTTAATCAAAACGCCATGATCTTGCATATCATCGGGACCGGCTTGCTTCTCGTTCTGAACATCTGCATCTTTTACGTTCAGCGGGTGGGGTATTCCATTGTTATTTGCAGGATTTTGCATATGATACTGATCAAACTCAGCTATATTCTGAAATGTATAAATAATACAAGAGAAATCAGTACAATTTATGTCGTAATTATTCTGAAAAAAAAAAAAAAAAAAGGCAAATTAATTCAGTATTCTGTAAATAATTTATGTATGTTTTTTAATACCTTTACTATATTTAACTTTGTTATAATACAATTTTATATGTAGTAAGAAGTAAATAAATAGCAAATTATATAACCTTTTATCTACAAATTTCCATTTGAGTAACTTTGTAATATCAAATTTACTAAAAAAATAAAATTACCTTTGGATCCTTGTCCCATTTATTGATGTCATGATTCATTTCGGCTTTATCAAAACTATGCGGTGGTTGAACTTGGGGTAAATGTTCTTCATTCTGATGAGTGTCTATTGGTTTTACAATATTTGGAGGACGTAAAACATTGTCCTTTAGATCTAAATTAATAGCTTTTTTCCTCGTGTCAACATTTTCATGTTCGAGATTATCAATATTTTTATCGCCATGTTCTTTTGGAGAAGGTAGAACATTCAAAGATTGTGACTGGCCTTCAGTTTTGACACTGGGAACTATATTCGGCCTTTGTAATAGCTTCGGTTGTACTCCTTGTTCATCTTTCTTGCTCATGTCTTTATCAATTTCTTCATCCTTTTCTTTCCTCTCATCATTTTTAATGACTTGGTTTGTCTTTAATTGCAGAAAACATTTTAGAATTATTAAAATATTACAAAAAGTTAATTAAAATAAACATTTATTAATAACATGTCTTCTAAGCAGCATAGCCAGTCCCTACCTACAAACATCTGTACTTACAATGACCGAAACTAGTGTAGTAAAATATTATTTTTAAATCTGAACAATCATCTTGCATTCACTAGCAGATTAGTATAAGGCCAAGACTCCACTAGCATAAAAACAGGCATAAAAACCTTTGCCGTAAAAACTTTTAATCGTGTGACCTGTTTGTGTTTGCGCCTGGATTGCAGTGGAGGTCCAGCTAGCGAAATTTTATGGCAATGGTACTATTGAAGTTATAAAGACAATGATTATATTCTACGAGTTTTTTCTGCACTATAATTACAAATGTAGTAAAAATAATATCTTTACATTCATATATTAACTTTTATCATCGTATTATTAATTAAGATAATATACAACACTTATAAGCTTAGCTTTTTTCATTATATACCTCTCTAAATTGAAGGATTTTCCTTTGGCCATCCACATCGCGTGTTTTAGGCATCCATTATTATAATCAGGATACTTCTTGTTGTAGATACATGAATACTTTCTGATGTTTTCGATAAATCTTTCCAGATCTATTCTAGAGTAGCCACGAGGGAACATACACAAAAGCTCATTTTCTGCCATTTTCGCACTGTGACACAATGACCTAGATTTCACTGAGTTCTGATTGATGGATGGTATCGTTTCACAGCCGTATTTGTGTCGAAAGTTGAACACTGCTCAACTTGCTTTTATGCTGGTTTTATGACCTGCTCAGGCATAAAATATCATGGTCACGTGATTAAAAGCTTTTACAGCAAGGGGTTTTATGCCCGTTTTTATGCTAGTGGAACCTTGGCCTAACAATTAAATGTTAAATGTAATACTGTGATAAGAAATGAACGAGTTTATATAATAAATGAGAAGTTTATTCACGTTTAATTATAACTTGGGTTCTTGTCATTAGCTCTCCAAAAGTGAAAACGAAACTGTCTGCAGAACTACTCAGTCCAGGGTCTTTGTTCTAATTTTATAACAAAGTTGAAGTGAATTAATAATAAATTATTTTTATTATTAATATTTATTTATTTAAAGTCAATCCCACACAAAGATTATTTTAATCTCTCAGTATGGGTTTTATTTATTTTTTTTTAACTTTGTTGATTATCTGCAAAAGCCGGAGAATCTTTACTAACAGAATACAGTATTTAGTTAAAATATTAAACATTAGTGCCAGTGCATACAAGCAATATTTTGATATGAGGACACAGCATCTGTAAGTATATGGAAGAAAACAGAATGATCACATGTGACGAGTTGCTGCAGCAGTGACATTGTATCTAATCTGTGTCCAGACAACCTATGCAAGGTTCTGGAGGGATGAAAGTCAAATTCACCATGTCTGCATCAAACCAGTTCCCCCAATTAGTTCAGGTGTATACAAGCAATATTTTGATGTGAGGATGTGGCACCACTATGACTCACTGTCCATAAATACATGAAAGCAAATAAAGCAATGCATACATGATGAGTTCCTGCAGCAGTGATGCTTCCATTTACTTCTACATATTTACAGACACATCTCATTGACATTGTGTCAAAATATTGCTTGTGTTCAGTAGCACTTAATTTGAAGTGCAACACATCTGAACAGTACAGTTTTATTGCATTATGGCATAGATGTTTAGTAAACAGATTACAATATGCACACACAAGTGATATTATATAGGCAGGCTTAAACACAGCCTGGAAACTGTACTCCTTATTTTACATATTCAACTTTTCTAATTTCATAATTATAAATTAATCCATCTGTAGAGCCTGCATTTACAAATTCCCTCCTGCCAGTTTCTTGTACTGAATTGAAATAGTCAAATATCTTAACAAAACAAAAACACTTTAATCACACTTGATCGTATATAGTAGAAACTCAATACTATGCAGTAATGATACTCTTCTTATCCTTCCTTGCCCACTTTCAAACTCCACCACTTCTCTTCACTAACTCTACCATCCTCCCACCACTACTCTGACTCTCCTTCTTCCACACGCATCCCTCTCTCTCTTTTTCTCTCGTTCTGCCTTTTTTTCTAGCCTTTTTTTATGTCTGTTTGTCTACCCTAGTTTATTACTTTTATGACTGCCTGTAAAGAGATTGGATATGGTCCAATAAGACAGCAGTTGGGGGAAAAGAGAAGACCCAATATCACTACACTGTCATAAATCTAATTTCAAGCAATTGGATTTATAATGAAAGTTCCAGTACCTAACTCTATTTTGACTCAACTTTTAAACAAGAATATAATTCATTAACAAACTATGTCAGATTGAACATTTTAAAATGTATACAGAATTATAAATTCCATTTTAAAATTATAAATGTAAAAGTGTAACAAATTAAACTACAAAAATTAAGGACAAGAAAATGTATACATTAATAACATAGATGGAAAAACTAAAGAAATTGCTTAGATTTAAACTGTAGAGGAGCACATCTATTCACTTCTGTTTTATAACTTTACGCAATATAAATGCAGTATTGTATATGTCAGAGCTGACCAAACCTTGTCATGACAGGAACAATATATTGTCTATCAGAAATACAGGTACAACATTCTCTACTGAAACTATATTTTATATATATTATACAGGAGACACAGTGATATATCTCACTGTATAAGTTACTGTTCACTATAACATCTATATAAATATATATATAACTTATATGGGAGCCATAGTAAGGATCTAAAAGAGCCATATTATCACCAAGCCATAGTTTAATCATCACAGGTATATGTCTTTTATATATATAAAAAAATTGGTTCAAAAAGTTTAACTTCTTCACTCAACTAGATAAATATAACTCACCACAACCTTGATAATTCATATAACATAAAACCTTGATAATTCTAGAAAAAATTTTACATTAAATTATTTAGTGGAATTATCAAGATTTTATGTTGTATAGTGAAAAAATGGAGGTTTTATAATAACAACTTAAAGTACAAAAGGATTGTTAAATGTAAAATGTACAAAATATTCCATTCAGACAGCGTTCCATACTGGAACAAAGTTGCTCCAAAATATTTAGTTTTATTAAAAAAAAAAATCTGTCATAAATGAAAAAAATCAATTTTTATAAATACTTTCTATTATAAAATAATACTAACCTGTTGATTTTTAGATTTATCTACATTTTTATGATTTTTTATTTGTTCTAATGCTTGATGAGACTGAAGATCATTGTACTGATTATCTTTTAATTTATTATTATTTTGATGAAGATGGATAAAACCAGGATTATGATTCTCTCCAATAAAGGACCGCCTCTGCAACTGAGTCGTCAGTTCTTTTAACTTATTTTCTAACTGCTCATATTGCAAACGACATAACTGCAATTCATCCTGTAAATACACAATTAAAAGTAGTGTAACCAAAGGGCATTTTATCACATTTTATTGGAAATAGATGCATCAGCAATATATGATATGAAACTTTCAAAAGAACAAATTCAAGCTGTTTGTACTATCATTTCAAGTGGTAACAACACAACAGACTCACAACCTCATCTTCAAAGCATTTGTTAAAGCATTTGTGGGTGAACAAAGGTCAACCAGCTATTGCAAATGTCAAAAGATCAGTACTGCAGAAGACAATGATCTGCAATAGTTTAGCATCATCACAACGGAACCTCTTCCAACCAACATCACTGTTTAAAAAAACTTTACTGTGAATAACCAAATTACTTGAACACCAAGATCAAAGATCTTCATCCAAAAATTGACAAAGTCTGATACAAAGCCACAAAAGCATATTGGTATATAGAAAAACACCAGTCATTCTATGCTTACAGGATTGAAAGTTGCAAAGTGGGATTGATATTAATGGTGATTACCTACAAGGCTTAATTGTAATCAATGAGAGTTAATTTTCAATAAACTTTTTTTAAAGTGTCTAAATTTCATCTTTACAGCCTGATATATATGATCTATGTTTTCTATGTTCTTGTCCTTTTATTAAGATAATTCCAATGAATATTGCAAATACCATATCTACACTGAAAAGTGTGTTCACATCTTCAAAGTAGCAAACACTTTCTTGCTCCAGCCTGCATAAAACAGAAAACCTGCCAATTCTTTTAATTCTATAGTCCTATACAATTCAAGCTTTCACATGTTTTACAGTATAAGTTTTATATATAAAAATGTTTTTAAATGGAAATAATATTTTGTTACAACATTAACTTATCTATATTCATTGATTAAAATATTAATAAAAATTAGAATTTCTATCAAAATTAACCAATTTATGTGTAGTTATAAAAAGTTTAACTTGTAGTAATATTAACATAGAGAATTTATATTAAATATATATTAAAATTTAAGTGAATGTTTGAGTTTTCAAAATAAATAAAGTAATAGTAAACTAAACTTCTTGCAAATTTCTCTTGCCAGTCTTGAAGTTAAGGTACTTATCTGAAAGATTATTTCCTATCTTGAATATTGTACCAATTTCCACCTGAACAGCACTAAATTTTCAATTTTAAGGACTGGGAAATATGTATTTTGTTCAAATGCTCAAATTCAAAAATGGCTGACTAACAGACTGAGAATGCTGATGCATAAACTTTGTGCTTAGTTATATGATCACAAATTATTTATTTGTAGCACCATGCATCATGAGAATCGCACTGTAATCATGGGGAAAAAAATATAACTCTCGACAGGCCATAGACATGTATGTATTTTTCTCAACTGTTAAAACTCAAAATTTAATGTATTTCAGAGCAGAAAATCAAAGCAATATTCAAGGTAGGAGTAATCTTTCAAATAAGTTTCTTAACTTCTTGGGTTCTTTCCTTGTGAGTACCTACAGTAATTTGTTTATTTCTAAACTAAGATGATGTGGGGAAAAATTATTACAAAATATCTAATTATTAATAGGGTTCAAAAAGCCAAAGGTCAAACATTCAAACTATACACTAATTCAATGTTTAATTAACCTAATTTACATATTTAAATGTTAATATTGTTATTGTTGTTTCGTTATCACTATCAAATAAAAAGTCTACAATAATCAGTATAAATTATAACTCAAAAATAACTATTACAATATATCACATAATCATATGCAATTATGAATAGTAGAAAAAGGTTTCTTCCATTATAAATCTACAAGTCGACCTGTAAAAACTATCAATTTATTAGGACCTAAAGATGATTTTGAGTGTTTAGAAAGTCTTGTTTGAAATCTAAACAACAGAATGCAATGTGCATTTTTGTTATCATCTTATTGTCTTTTTTGTATTTTTCTACATGTCACAATGATGTGCAGATTATATAATTTTACTTTTATATTTAATTAATTAAATACATTATATTTGATTATGTATATTAATACAGTAAATATGTTTGGCATTTGATTCTTTTTTGTTTCATGTCAGTCACCATTTTGTAAACTGTTCAATATTTCAAACATTAATCTGATGAAAATTATTAAAAAATTATCAAAAACGTCAGTTTTTTCCATTTGAATAAACCTTTTGCTGCTATTCAAGGTTGCAAGTGATTGAGCAATATGAAATGTGTCAAAAGTTTAATTATAGTGCATCCTATTTCATTCTGAAATAAATATGTGCAGTCATTACTTTATTTTTTAAGTGTAAATGCATTTTATCTGTAAACAAACATCATGAAACCCAATAAATTGTAAAGTCAAACAACCACTGGATTACATTGGGCTACTTCTCTGCAATTATATTTCATTAATTATTAAATAATTTATCATTAGAGGAAGGCATTAGATGCCATCTCTTATTAAATTTAATAATTATAATGAAATTAATATTTATTAAATAATCTAGAATATTCCAGAAGAAAAGAATTGGCCTGGAGCAGGACTCAAACCTTATGTAACCGAGGATGGTTATATTATATTTAAATATGTCTGGAAGGGAAGATTGGACCAGAAGCTCAGATAGTATAAATGGCAACGCATCCACACTGTAAGTGGAAGTTGTGGGTTCAAGTCCCGCTCTGGGCAGANTGCAAAATAAAAGTTGCACAAAGGTTAGTGCGACATATCTGTATTTATTATCGCTTTGTTCATTGAGTGGATTTTATTGTACTACAAAGCTGAAAAGAAGTAAATTTTCCAAATATTTTTTCAATATTTATACAGGATAACCAAACTTGATGCATAGATTTTGACCTATGCAGCACAAAATTTAGTTTTTACACATAGAGTTTTGCATAAAATGATAAATTCTGAGAAGAATAAGAAAATACAATACCATTTAAATTGTACTCTATGGAAAGTGTCATATTTTATAGAGGATTTCTTATAATAGAAATCTATCCATTGCAAAATTTAAATTATAATAAAAAGACAAAAAATTTGGCACTTGGATTTCTCTTCTAATGGCCATATTCAATGAAGGATCAAGAAATTAAATTAGAAGTTAACCAATTATATTCAGTTTACTTTTTAGTACACGAATGTTTATTGGTTAGTTTCTTAATCCGTGTTTGTGAACATGCTAGATCTATGTACCAAACTGCCTATTATTTTTTATAATAATTATATATATNTTAGATTTAAACTGTAGAGGAGCACATCTATTCACTTCTGTTTTATAACTTTACGCAATATAAATGCAGTATTGTATATGTCAGAGCTGACCAAACCTTGTCATGACAGGAACAATATATTGTCTATCAGAAATACAGGTACAACATTCTCTACTGAAACTATATTTTATATATATTATACAGGAGACACAGTGATATATCTCACTGTATAAGTTACTGTTCACTATAACATCTATATAAATATATATATAACTTATATGGGAGCCATAGTAAGGATCTAAAAGAGCCATATTATCACCAAGCCATAGTTTAATCATCACAGGTATATGTCTTTTATATATATAAAAAAATTGGTTCAAAAAGTTTAACTTCTTCACTCAACTAGATAAATATAACTCACCACAACCTTGATAATTCATATAACATAAAACCTTGATAATTCTAGAAAAAATTTTACATTAAATTATTTAGTGGAATTATCAAGATTTTATGTTGTATAGTGAAAAAATGGAGGTTTTATAATAACAACTTAAAGTACAAAAGGATTGTTAAATGTAAAATGTACAAAATATTCCATTCAGACAGCGTTCCATACTGGAACAAAGTTGCTCCAAAATATTTAGTTTTATTAAAAAAAAAAATCTGTCATAAATGAAAAAAATCAATTTTTATAAATACTTTCTATTATAAAATAATACTAACCTGTTGATTTTTAGATTTATCTACATTTTTATGATTTTTTATTTGTTCTAATGCTTGATGAGACTGAAGATCATTGTACTGATTATCTTTTAATTTATTATTATTTTGATGAAGATGGATAAAACCAGGATTATGATTCTCTCCAATAAAGGACCGCCTCTGCAACTGAGTCGTCAGTTCTTTTAACTTATTTTCTAACTGCTCATATTGCAAACGACATAACTGCAATTCATCCTGTAAATACACAATTAAAAGTAGTGTAACCAAAGGGCATTTTATCACATTTTATTGGAAATAGATGCATCAGCAATATATGATATGAAACTTTCAAAAGAACAAATTCAAGCTGTTTGTACTATCATTTCAAGTGGTAACAACACAACAGACTCACAACCTCATCTTCAAAGCATTTGTTAAAGCATTTGTGGGTGAACAAAGGTCAACCAGCTATTGCAAATGTCAAAAGATCAGTACTGCAGAAGACAATGATCTGCAATAGTTTAGCATCATCACAACGGAACCTCTTCCAACCAACATCACTGTTTAAAAAAACTTTACTGTGAATAACCAAATTACTTGAACACCAAGATCAAAGATCTTCATCCAAAAATTGACAAAGTCTGATACAAAGCCACAAAAGCATATTGGTATATAGAAAAACACCAGTCATTCTATGCTTACAGGATTGAAAGTTGCAAAGTGGGATTGATATTAATGGTGATTACCTACAAGGCTTAATTGTAATCAATGAGAGTTAATTTTCAATAAACTTTTTTTAAAGTGTCTAAATTTCATCTTTACAGCCTGATATATATGATCTATGTTTTCTATGTTCTTGTCCTTTTATTAAGATAATTCCAATGAATATTGCAAATACCATATCTACACTGAAAAGTGTGTTCACATCTTCAAAGTAGCAAACACTTTCTTGCTCCAGCCTGCATAAAACAGAAAACCTGCCAATTCTTTTAATTCTATAGTCCTATACAATTCAAGCTTTCACATGTTTTACAGTATAAGTTTTATATATAAAAATGTTTTTAAATGGAAATAATATTTTGTTACAACATTAACTTATCTATATTCATTGATTAAAATATTAATAAAAATTAGAATTTCTATCAAAATTAACCAATTTATGTGTAGTTATAAAAAGTTTAACTTGTAGTAATATTAACATAGAGAATTTATATTAAATATATATTAAAATTTAAGTGAATGTTTGAGTTTTCAAAATAAATAAAGTAATAGTAAACTAAACTTCTTGCAAATTTCTCTTGCCAGTCTTGAAGTTAAGGTACTTATCTGAAAGATTATTTCCTATCTTGAATATTGTACCAATTTCCACCTGAACAGCACTAAATTTTCAATTTTAAGGACTGGGAAATATGTATTTTGTTCAAATGCTCAAATTCAAAAATGGCTGACTAACAGACTGAGAATGCTGATGCATAAACTTTGTGCTTAGTTATATGATCACAAATTATTTATTTGTAGCACCATGCATCATGAGAATCGCACTGTAATCATGGGGAAAAAAATATAACTCTCGACAGGCCATAGACATGTATGTATTTTTCTCAACTGTTAAAACTCAAAATTTAATGTATTTCAGAGCAGAAAATCAAAGCAATATTCAAGGTAGGAGTAATCTTTCAAATAAGTTTCTTAACTTCTTGGGTTCTTTCCTTGTGAGTACCTACAGTAATTTGTTTATTTCTAAACTAAGATGATGTGGGGAAAAATTATTACAAAATATCTAATTATTAATAGGGTTCAAAAAGCCAAAGGTCAAACATTCAAACTATACACTAATTCAATGTTTAATTAACCTAATTTACATATTTAAATGTTAATATTGTTATTGTTGTTTCGTTATCACTATCAAATAAAAAGTCTACAATAATCAGTATAAATTATAACTCAAAAATAACTATTACAATATATCACATAATCATATGCAATTATGAATAGTAGAAAAAGGTTTCTTCCATTATAAATCTACAAGTCGACCTGTAAAAACTATCAATTTATTAGGACCTAAAGATGATTTTGAGTGTTTAGAAAGTCTTGTTTGAAATCTAAACAACAGAATGCAATGTGCATTTTTGTTATCATCTTATTGTCTTTTTTGTATTTTTCTACATGTCACAATGATGTGCAGATTATATAATTTTACTTTTATATTTAATTAATTAAATACATTATATTTGATTATGTATATTAATACAGTAAATATGTTTGGCATTTGATTCTTTTTTGTTTCATGTCAGTCACCATTTTGTAAACTGTTCAATATTTCAAACATTAATCTGATGAAAATTATTAAAAAATTATCAAAAACGTCAGTTTTTTCCATTTGAATAAACCTTTTGCTGCTATTCAAGGTTGCAAGTGATTGAGCAATATGAAATGTGTCAAAAGTTTAATTATAGTGCATCCTATTTCATTCTGAAATAAATATGTGCAGTCATTACTTTATTTTTTAAGTGTAAATGCATTTTATCTGTAAACAAACATCATGAAACCCAATAAATTGTAAAGTCAAACAACCACTGGATTACATTGGGCTACTTCTCTGCAATTATATTTCATTAATTATTAAATAATTTATCATTAGAGGAAGGCATTAGATGCCATCTCTTATTAAATTTAATAATTATAATGAAATTAATATTTATTAAATAATCTAGAATATTCCAGAAGAAAAGAATTGGCCTGGAGCAGGACTCAAACCTTATGTAACCGAGGATGGTTATATTATATTTAAATATGTCTGGAAGGGAAGATTGGACCAGAAGCTCAGATAGTGTAAATGGCAACGCATCCACACTGTAAGTGGAAGTTGTGGGTTCAAGTCCCACTCCTGGGCAGATTCTTTCCTTCTGGAATATTCTAGATTATTTAATAAATATTAATTTCATTATGATTATTAAATTTAATTAAAAATTTAAATAATTAATTAAACATAATTATTAAATTTAGAGGGAGGTATTAGATTTAAATACCTCCCTCTAAATTTAATCTAATTAAATCTAACACCTCCCTTTAGTGACAAATTATTTAGTAATTAATTAAATATAATCACGGAAAAGTAGCTCAATTCATCTGATGGTTGTTTGGCTTTGCAGTTTATTTGGTTATTCTGAACAAGTTTCAAAACTTTTAAATTTAATTTACAATAAACTAAAATGTTTTTAAATCCTACAAATAAGTTGTTTATATTATATTTTATTTGCAATAATTATTTATTGTCAAGAATGATTATAAACATTAAAAAGAGAAATCGAAGTCTTACAGTATGCTGCTTTACTCTCCACATTTGATTTTCAACATTTTTCTGCAAATCTTCTTTTTCTAAAATTAACTGATTAATATGAGCTGTAAAATAAAAATAATTTGATAAATATGTAGCAGTAAATCTCTCATATATTTAATTACAGTTTCATTTAATAAAATTGTTACTTTTTATATTGAAAAATGTAAAAAAAGAAAAGAAAACTTCAAATAATTAACCAACAATAACATGTGATATCAAAAATTTTCTGCAACTACTTGTTTTTTCACAGGTATTTTTCACACAAAATTGACTTACTTAACTGTGCTTTCTATAATAGCTTAATGCTGCATGCTATTCATTTAACTGTATAAAAATTTTGGTAAAACAAAACTCTTTTTTGCTTATCAAAAACCCCAAAAAGCCCACTGCAAAAAGTTGCCATTATACAATGTGGCAATTTTCTGCTCCTATCTCATTTTTAATATGATGGAGATCTCACACAGTTGCTGCAAGAGGTAGTCATGGTGTCATAGATGTTTGTCAACCATACATGACGTAATGACAACAGTCTGCAACTTGCTACAACCTTCTATGTAAGACAGCCTGGGTGTTGGGATCTTAAACAATTTAAACGTTTTTGGGGCTTTATGTTGTGCTTAAAAAATATTTAAAAAATCACTTCCTTCTGAGAAACGCCTCAGCCCTCTCATCATTTATTTCCAGCTGAACTCATTTCACATTAGCCTGCGTTATTGCAAAGTTCAGAAGGCTCCCTACGGGAGAAGGGTCGAGAACATTGTTCTGTAATCAAAACATTATCTCGTAAACTAAACAACGTATGACATTGAAATTTGGCATCTACAGAAAAGATGAATACAGGATTTTTCACAATTGCCAAATTCAAGGAATGGCAATTACACGCAGGATAATTATACACAAAAAATAAGCACACGTAATCAGAGGTTAAAAAAAATGTATATCACTAACAAAACAATAATTAACAATCTAAAATATTGTTATTAAGCAATTCCAAAGAATAAGAATTAAAATGAAACATTATTAATTTTAGATAAAAACAAAACAAAACTAATCTGAATTATCTATTGTTTGATTTTCAAAATCAAAAAAATTTATTAATTTGAATCTATATTTGTAGATTGATATCATTGTGTACTTTCAAGCAATGTATAAAAAGGAAAAATAATGTAAAAAACTAATCCAATCTTAATGCTTGATACAAATTTAAATTTTTACATCATTGTTAAAGATATCTAAGTATTTTTAGGTAAGTAAAAAACTCTCATCCTCCTTCAAACTATTATAGTTTTGCAACTGGTTTTAATTAAATTTTAAAATAACATTGAAAATACTGTATGTTGTCAGTTCCAAACATTACAACTTTATAACAATTTTCTTAAATATAATAAACTTTTAGCTTCTCTCTCTAAAATTCTACATAAGCCACTATATAAACTATATTTTATCAATCAAAATAACAACAGAATATGTGTTTATATTTTTAAAAAGTTATTACAGTAAGTTATCAAAATTTTTAACAAAATGTAAATGTTATTCACAGATCTAGAAGAAACTTTACGCACGTTACTTTGATTTACAAATATTTCAGAAATAATATCTGAAAGAATTTTCAATATAAAAATTTATGAAAAAGAGAGACCGAAAATCCAGCATAAAATTACCAATCATCATATACATGAATGTTTTCAATAGACTTTAGCAACCATTGTCAAATTACAAAATTTTTTATTCGAAATTTTTGAAAGAAACTTAAAAATTCTCTCAAAAATAAACACAAGGAATTGAAATTTCCCCCAATTTTGTAAAGGATTTCAAATATTACACCTTGTGATGTTCTGCTGATTGAATTAATCTTTTGTGATGTGACATGAGTCAACAGAATTTGCTCAGTAATGTATTCATCCTATTTTGACTAAAACTCCACTCCACTGGGCATGACAAGAACATGCAGTTCCGAATACCTTCTTCCCTGGACACTGTATTAGGCAGTGTGCATCAGAGATCACCCAGCATTACTTCTAAATTCTACTCCTGGAGTTTTATGCAACAAATCCACTTATATTTAGGAGCTTATGGATAGAAATGTGGCAACTGTCTGTCCTGTGATGCCAGAAATGTTGTCGAAAGTCTTTGAAGAAGCAAAATGCTGTATGCATGTACATTACAGATGGCTATACTTGTAATATTTAACTTAACATGTATGAATTTCAACAAGACTGCTTTAAAACAAAATAGAGGGCATAATCAGAGTACATCTTGTATTTTTCTTTTCTTTTACAAAAATAGATTATCACATTCATTTTTTATAAACATAAATAGAAAGATTTGACAATTTTAAAACCTTCACACACATTTCGGATGAGTTACAGAAAACAGAAAATTACATATTCAAATTTATAATATGGTTATTGTATAAAAAATGGGCATCAAAAACAGTGTTTCATAGAAAGTATTCTGTAGTATAAAAAGACAATGCAATTGTCTATAAGAAATACATCAAGACTTATTATATGCTGGCAATAATGTAATGATTTACCTTTTATTTTATTAATTTCTTCCTCTTTTTGCTGCTTTAATGATTCTAACTGTGCTGACATTGCTCCAACTAACTGCTTCTTCTCTTCTTCTAGTAGAGCATAGTTATTTTTTAAATCAGCAATTTCACTGTGTAATTGTTGCTGTTTATTCTACGACAAAGATTTGTTATTAAAAAAAAGTAAAAAAAAAAAAAAAGCCAATTAATGAAATGAAAAATTTCAATTGAAATAATGAATATAGTTACTATTAATACTAAAGACAATTTTAATAAAAAGGTATAAAAGTACCTGTGAAGCTTCATGTTCTTGTAATAAGTTACTATATCTAGATTCTAATGTATGCTGAAACAAAGTTACGAAATTATGAATTTTTAAATCGAAATAAATCTTTGGTTGTTTAAAAAAGCTAACAATGAGTTACATGACTTTTCAGGCTGTTATGAGATTTTATTTTAAAAATAAATTTTATATTATTAATCATAAATGAATTGTATATGGCACTATCTGTTACTATAGTAGAAACTCAATACTATGCAGTAATGATACTCTTCTTATCCTTCCTTGCCCACTTTCAAACTCCACCACTTCTCTTCACTAACTCTACCATCNAGTACCAGTGTGAAGTGGAATAAACTCTAACATTGAGTTATTTTGCACATGTTTGAAAATAAGGTTTTGTAAGTCACATTACAGCACAAATATTTCACCAATTGCACAGTTGTTTTTTTCTTATGGCAGTCAGTGACGAACTACTTAAGTATTTGTTATAAAAATTTTCTATATTTTTAATTATTATAAAATGGCAAGAGACTTAATTTTGAGGGTAGAGATTAGTTTTATAAAAACCTGTAAATGCTAGCAACAAGTAAAATCGTCATTAAGTCCAGCCCCACATAAGACAAGACATATGACCACTTTCTCTCTCTTTCTCTCCTTCCCCTTAACCTTTTATAATCGAAATTTAATAGCAACAATACTGCTCATAGGCAAGCTTTTATGACAAATCTTGTTTCTTAATCTTCCCCCATTCCAAGATATTAAACAAAATAGATGACAACACACAGAATTTTTGACATTTTTTCAACTTGTTTTGGTTCAGAAGATCTCAAAACAGAAATTTGCAAAAAGTTGAAGGGTCAAATTTAATATGATTCTAATTTACGTTTCCCTTGTAATGTATATGTTAGGCTGAAAGACTAAAATTGCTCAATGAGCAAAAAAACGGCCACAATGTGTTGTGGCTAACTCAAAACAATCACAAAGCAAAACTCGTGTCGTGGCTTTCATGATATTTGACCACTACGCGTTGTGGTGATTAATAAAAGCCATAACGCATTCTGAACGTTAGCTGATGCAACCACAATACAAGATCATATAATGCACAGTGGTTTGTAACTTTAAAATATGAATTCTAGACATGAAACATTTTTATTTACAATTTTTAATGCTGAACAACATTAGTTAAAAGTTTTCCTAGAAATTTAATTTTTATACTTAAAAAAATTTCAAAAAAATAAAATATATGGAGAAAAATACAGATTCGTTTCTTTTGTTTTGCTAAAAAGTGCTAAAGGTCTAACTATATATACTTGTAGGTGCTTGATATCCTATACATGATAAAATAAAAATCAGCTGCTAAAGTTAAAAAACCACTATGCAACAAATTTATTATGGTTAAAAGCCATCACATATTCCGGATGTTAACTAATAATGAGGTGATGATAAGAAAATAAAACTTTCTTTTTCATTATGATTTATTTATCTTCAATCATCTTGTATAAGCAGATAACAAAATTATTTACCATATACAGAAATTTAACTTGGTTACTTTACAACATTTAATTATTCACGTATTTTATGTTCTTTGAGCAACATTTGCATTTTTACCAATACAGTATCTTTTACACTGACACATTATAAACACTTGCTTAGTTCCAGATGTTAACATGGATGCTGAGCAAAGTGTTAATAAAGTTGAGGGTACATTCCGAATGTTAATAAAGTTACTATAGAAATTGTAAATTTATTACGAGTATAAAGTCGATCAAGAAGACTTTCCTTGTTTCCTAACTGATAGAGACCTGATGGATTAATGCTCATAACAGCAGCTAAAACATTTCTGGGAGCTGCACGTCCCCTACCAACATTACGCATTCTAACTAAAGCAATCGAATCAATTTCAACTGCAGAAAATTACCCTAAATTGAGAAAACTCTCCAAGCTCAAATAAAAAAAAATAAGACAAACGATTCTATGATACAGATCCCTGTACTATTATTGTGAAATAATAATCAGAACAATTCTTAATTCATTGTTTTTGAAAATTTTAACAACTAAAATGTCTTAGAATTTTTAGGCTTTATCAGAGGTATTAATTTACATCTGATATGGAGAGTGCCAATGGCTCAATGGCATAAAGGTTGAGAAAAGCAAAATCCTACTTGGGTGTAATATACAGTAATACCTTGGTTTTCGATGACTTCGGTTATCATCAGTTTTGGATTTTGCCAATTGTTTTGGGACAGATTATCGATGAAAACCAAAGTATCACTGTACAGTGTACACCCATGTACCTAGCATCAATCTGCATTATTTCTTTAGCTTCTGTTTCCTATCCTAAAGCCCTCCAGTTATAGGGAAAAACAGAATGGTTTTAGGCTAAAACTTTTTCCAGCAAAACTTGTGGAGCGACGAGTAATAACATCAGAACACAGGTTAGTTTTACCCTAAATATAAGACTACCCGAAACATTACTCTGACAGGTTGAAATTACTCTAAAAAAGGGTAATTACCCTAGAAATGGCAGCACTGGTCAAAAATGAACACTATACAAACTCCACAAGTGTTTGCAATGCACCCGTTGACAAGTTACAATTTATCCCTCATATTGTGGTTGCATCAGCTAACGTTCAAAACACATTATGGCTTTTCTTAATCACCACAATATGTAGTGGTCAAATATCATGAAAGCCACAACAAGAATTTCGCTTTGTGGTCATTTTGAGTTAGCCACAATGCACTGTGGCTAACTCAAAATGAGCGATTTCGGTCTTTGAGCCAAACATATACTTAACAGCCAGGAAAGTAAAATCCATGTTGCAATTCAAAAATTGGCATCATAATAAATACAATGTTTATTATAATTTTTCATTTTTAAAACAACGTTTGATCATTGATATCACTGACAACTTTATAGATAATAAAAATTATATTTGATACAACTATCTCTAGTGTCTTTCAGTTCATCTCTCTTGCATTATTTTTGTTTTTTTTTAAAAAATTTAAATTTATAGCATCTAATTTTCTGGATGTTATAGAATATAACAGAGAAAGTATGGTGATCAGTCAAATTTTACCTCTCAGTGTTTTGCATTTCTCAATGTTTTGATATTCCGGGAGTCTAAGAAACATAAAAGTCGCTGTAAAATTGCATGTATATCAACTTTTTATTATAACTTAAGACTGGACGAACCAAAAATTTCAAAACTTGCAAGATTATTTCTATCTATAGGGCATTGATATTATTAAATTTTGATCAATATAGGTTGAAGTGAGAAAATAGAGGGGTCATCTTGTGTTGCATCTTGAGTGAGGTCAAACATGAAAATTTTACTGGCTACTGGCATTTACACTTCCTTAAAACACATATCTACCCTCCAAATTAAACCTTTTGCTTTTTTATAATAATACAATAAAAAAATGTTTTAATATAAACTCAGAACAGACGGCATCCCACAAAATTTTAACTTTGTGCTAAGGTGTCTTAGTGTTGTTTTAAACTTAAATATTTTAAAAATAGAGATATTTCTCTTAATTCAACAAATTACTCCTCTTTACACTTTATTATTTAAATTTTATAGTATAATTCAAAGTCATTGGACTTCCTCCCTGATCCTCTTAACTTCTTATTCAGGTGCCAGTAAAGTTGAGCAAGACTCATTGCAGCTTTTTTTAAATCTCAAAATAGCCATTTTTAAAAACAATTTCACTAAAACTTTAATTTATATGACAATATAAATTTTAGAGAACAAAATGAAAATTAGCAAACAGATACAGTAATACCCTGAACTTACACGATAGGTGGGACTGAGTGATAACCGCGTAAGTCGAATTTGCGTAAGTCGGGGTATAATTTCGCAATTTGTGTAAAATCCAAGTCGGATGTATGTAAGCTAATAAATGTTCTCGTTAATCTTATCTCATCTTTTGATTCGTTGACGGTTACAAGAAATCACCACAGAGTCTCTCAAGGCTCCGTATATATAACAAACACAGAAATAAATAATACAAAATAAATTGTAGCTGTGCATCGATTCCGCGCGACATGTCCGAACATGTAAGCCAAACAATAGTGTGAGGGGAGTGAGTAATCAAGAGTTGCATGGCGCTCAAACAAAAAATAAATCAACGAGATTTGAAAATCACGTAACTCCGAGTTTGTGTAAGTCGGGGTAGCGTAAGTCGAGGTATTACTGTATAACATAAAACTAGACATGTCATTGGTTTGTTTGAAAAATAATGACCAGTCATTCTTGAAACAGGGAAGGTTTCTTTCCAAACTGGCATATAACAACATACGGTGTCACTACTGTCACACAAAGTTACTCCCCACTGTCTATCTTGCTAGCATTGACATAAGTCATTGACATTTGCATTATTTCACTTTCATACCTTAACTTATTTTTTCAACTAACAAAGTACCTTCTTTTCAGATATTAATGTGTGTGTATGAAAATTCCGTAGAAAAATAATATATTTGTATGGTAAATTAATCATTAATTAAAAATCCAACACAGAAAAGAATATAATGTATATTATTATTAAATTAAACAAAATTAGATTTATCATCACCATTACCATTATTATTATTGTCCTGGCCATTATATTTGTTAAATATTTGTTAATACGTTTATGATTGTGTCGTATCCCTAGAACATTTTTTATGTTTTTACATATCGGTCTGTAGAGTAATGTATAGCATTTACGTTTATAACTTTCTGGGTGTTTCTTCGTTTAAATAGAAATTTTAAATGCTGAAAATTGTTCACAACATAATAAAATTTTAGTATTTATCCAAAGTTATTGATATTTATTAGAATATTTTAGGTTGGTTATTCAAGTCTACATTTCTTTAAACCAATTGTCCTCAAAGCTATCAACCTCTGGACCACTTGAACCAAGTTGTAGATAAAGCGAGGACAACCTATACCCTCCGTCCACTTATCTTGTAAATATCACCTTAGATAATGATAAATTATATGTCAAAATATAGAATGTGGTAACCTAATGTAAGATATGTGGTGCATTAAAATGTCATTTCTCTGGCTAGAAAGCATAAAATTGCATTTTAAAAAATTACTAGGTCAGTCTGCAGACCAGGTATGAGTCCAGTGGTCCACAAACCATATTTTGAGAACTACTGCTTTAAACTATGATTAAACTAAAAATGAGCCTACTTTTTCTCTTTCCATTCGTACATGAAGTTCATTTTTCTGTCTATCTTGTTCTAAATAAAATATCAAATAAATATATTAGTAAAGTATAAATAAAATATCTGAGTATTTATATTGTAAATGTAATTCAAAAATGTATTAAATTCATTTATTTGATGATAAAGAATTATTTGTATTTTACAAGTTTTGCTATGTAATCATTATACATTATAGTTTTTTAAATTTACAATTAGCAATATCAGAGTTTTATACATCATAAAATTATTTCTTATTATTAGAGATACTGATAAATTTCAATTGGATATAAAATATTTTACAAATAATACTTTTTATACATAAATATTTTACAATCTGTAATACTTTTTATATAAATAATATTAATGCTATATATAGATTAAATAACTTAATAAAAAATTTAATAAATAAAAGCAATAGTACAATAGAAAGTTATGCATAATTTAAAATAATGCAGAGAAAATAAACAACAACAACATTTTTATTGTCTTTAAAATGTCTTGACATCTGTCAATTAAGTCAGTGTCTTTCAACCTTTCTCTCACAGCACACTTGAACCTATAATTAAATTTCCACAGAAAAAATCACGTGATTTAAAGTTGTGTTTGTAAATATTTTATTGCCATATTACTTGCCACTTAATTTAATTCTTTTTGTCTACATTTTTTGAGAATTAAATAAAACAGTATTGTTGTTCCTTAAAACAGCAACAGGTTACGACAATAGTTATTTAAATTAATCATTGTCATATGTAATAAACATAATAAATACTGAATAATATTCAAAACAAACCTTACAAAACCAAAAATCCAGCTCGTGAAACACAACAATGGAAACAATAAATGTTTTCAATTACTTTTAGCAATCAATCCTCAAATTAAAAAACTTATTTGGAAATGTGTAACAGAACAGAATATATGATGGAATGTAGTAATTTAATATATAAAACAAATGTCTGATTGACTGTCAGAAGATGTAATGTGTTTGTATTGGATGTAAATGTAATAACAATGCTAGGGGACAACATGTTATCCCCAGCATGGAGGACATTATTCAATATTTAATATTATTTTTAATATATATATATATTGTACAGTATGTGTGTCTGTGTCTGTGTATATATATACAGTATATAGATTATATGTAAAATACTCTTTCAATATAGGATGTTGTTCTCATATTTCTGATTAGTAGTATATGGCTTTTATCTAACCTAACCTAACATTTATAATATTAAACCTGACAATGGCCTATAGTAAATAGGTTGAAAACGTTTGTAAAAATAAAAGAAGTTTAAGCTCAGCAAAATTAGGTGTTGGTGAAACTGAAATTATCCTAACAAGGTTTAGCCACTTTGGTATATAGCTATTAAATAATATAGAGGATTGATTGATAAATAAGCTCTCCTTTTGCGAAGTTTGAGAACAGAAACACATGACTACTGCCATTTAATAACTGAAGTGTCTAGAACAGTGTTTCTCAACGGTGGCAATATCACTCCGTGTGGCCATTTTTCCATATTGGGGGCAATTAGTAACAATTTACATTTTGGGGGCAAAAAGCAATTTTCTGGGCAATATAGTAAAACATTATATTAAGAATAATTAGATATTTTATTCTTTATATCGTACAATAATTAAACAAATAACATTATACTAGTCACTAGTCTATTCAATGCAATATGAATTTGGCATTAGCCTCGGCCCTCGGCATTNACATTATATTAAGAATAATTAGATATTTTATTCTTTATATCGTACAATAATTAAACAAATAACATTATACTAGTCACTAGTCTATTCAATGCAATATGAATTTGGCATTAGCCTCGGCCCTCGGCATTGGAATTTTGAAGCTTGCAGTAGGAATTCACAGTGAATAATGCTTAATTTTAATTTTGTTAATTATATCAAAATCTAATACGTATTCTGAGTAAATAAATGCTTATTTGATAATTATATACTTTGTAAAAAATTAAACTAATAAACCAACAAAATTGTTTTTGAAGTGAAGGGGGTGGATACTACGCAATGGTTTTATTGAAGGGGGGCAACAATTCATTAAAGATTAAGAAACACTAGTCTAGAATGCAAAATTGCAATTCATTGTATTGCATTGTTGCAGCAAAAGTCAACATAAAGTCATTTCCCACATTTCGTACAATGTAGTGATCAATAACTGGATCTTTAATATTAGAATACTCAAAAAAAGAAGGAACTATCAGGGGAGGTATAGTAAAACTGTATGAAAACTCAAAATGTATTCCCAGAGTTATGCCAGAAAAGAACTGTTGTTTTCTCTACACCATGATAACATAAGATTGCTCTGCAGTTAAAAAAAATGAAAACTCTTAAGAAACTGAAGTTATAAGTTATTCCAAACACTCTTTGCAGTCCAGATCCAGCAATATCAGACTTCCCAAAATTAAAGGTACTGAAAAATCAACACTTTCATCAGAAGAAGAAATTAAAACTATTGTAAGGAATGGATTGAAGAAAAAACAAACAAAAATTTTTATGCACAGAATGAAAAAATGTATTGAATGTTTGGAAAAATGCACCACTATAACAGGTAAAAGGTAATCCTATTCAAAACTAATTATTATATATATATGATTAAAATAAATAATTTTAACTACTTTTTAAAATCTGGTCATATTGTCTACTTCTTCTCAAACTGATTTTATAAAATGGATATCTCATTTATCACTGAACCTTATATTATATTATCAGATCTTCAAATAGTCATACAATCCATGAGAGAACAAATTAGTCATTTATTGCTCATTCTTCCTTTCATATGATGATGGTATTATGGTATCATTGATAACCAGAGAGCTGTATCCCTCAGACAGCCCAAGTTGAACCCCTCTAATTTTCTTTTGTAAAGTTACTTGAAGGGTTCTGTATACAACAATCATCCTCACTTACATGCCTAACTACAAGTTAACATTCTGAGCATCATGAATAATAATATCTGTGGAGACCTCGCAGAAGGTTCCATAGATGTCATTTCGTGATGTTCACGAATGATCAAATGCTTTGGTAGTGTGAAGACCGAGGAAGTGGTTATTTCAGCATTTGATGTAAGAATAAAATACAAATAAACTGTTACCTACACAAGTTGCATGACTTTTTGATGACCCTGTTTAATGATAAGCTATTTGAATAAACAAACATTAGAACTGATAAAAACGATCAAATAGCCAAGGTAGTAAAAGCATCAGTTTCTCGCTATGAAGAACCCAGATCTGAGTCTGGTCAAATCCAAGATTGACCTGGACACATCCATCTAATCTAACCACTTTATTTAGAAGCTGAATAAGCTATGACGACAAAAAAACTCTTAGTGCTTAGAAAAATGAAAATATTGATAAAATATTCATTGTTTATAATTAGATGGATTTTACATCATTTTACAGATGATTTTACATCTAGTATTAAGCATAATACTAGAATATTGCAAAGTGTGATTTTGTGTATTGCTTACCAATCTATGACAATATTCTGCTTCTACTCAAATTGTACTGTTTAAAAAAAAAACTGAAGATCAGCTCTAAATACATTTATCTATCTTATTTCAAGAATAATTTCTATTTTAATTGTTATTGGCATATGAGGTAAGTGTATAATATATTTATTGTTTAATGTAACTATAAATTCATTTATGAACAAACTTTCATACTATTGTTTCCAATGATATTAATAATAGTAAGTTAATATAATCTTAATAATAAAAAACAAAGACATTCAGATGTTAGATATGTTCATTTTAATCATTATTGCTATTGTTTAAACATGTTTCTACGATGTACATGATATAAAAAACAAAATATCTTTAATATACTGTAACACAACTCAATTTAATGCAGTCATTTTATGACAAATATATTCAGAATTTTGCAAATCAATCTTGTAAATGACATAAAAAAAAATAGAATTATTAAATCTAATAATAATAGATCTTTAAAAATAACTTTTTAAATAAAGTATAAAGAAATTAAAATTAATTATATATAGACTGCTTTTCTTTTACAATGTTATTTTATTATCTATGTTTTATTTTTAAAATGATAAAATCATTTACCTTCTTTGGTGTGTTTATGGTCAATTTTTTCTTGTTGTAGAGACTTTTCAAGTCTGTTTTTATGCTCATAAACAACTGCAAGAGAATAAAATCACTATTAATCTTGATTAAAATGAATAATAATCTAACTACAGGTATCCCTTGTATAACATGGTAGTTACATTCTGAAAAAGTGCAGTGTCATGCAAATCCATGCTACATGAAACAAAGGAATAATACAAAACATGAGGTTAGATTCCAAAAGTTAACAAAAGTATACCATTATTTTTCGTTACCAAGAGAAATAGGTTTATTAAATCAAGCAATAATTAACTAACAATTGCAAATACTATATTACACATTAATTTTAACTTTAGTTAAACAAAAGCATTTTCTTTTTAAAAGTATTCTCATCTTCCGAGCTTTTTCATTGATCTTAATATCACCAACATCTTCATGACGTTTAGTTTTATCATAAAAAATTCTTATGGTCAACAAAATAAAAATATGTTATTGATCAAAAATTTGTTCTAGTGGATCACATTTGTTCAGACAAGAACCAAGCAACTTTGGCCGCAGAATTTGTATTCAAATAGTGAATTGTTCAAGTACTATATTGCCATATTTCATTAGTCATTTTTATAAATGATTACTTACCTACAATTAAAAAAGTTTAATAACACTTACCTAAACATGTTTAAATAAATTTTACTAAATACAAAGATAAATCTATAAAAGCAAAACACATGAGAGTCTTAAAGGCTAAAGTCTGAAAGCAATGATAATGATACTAGGTGGATAGGAAAGCTAGAACAAAGAAAAAAATTTTTACTATCAGTTTTTATTAAAGCAAACCTGATGAAATGCACAAAACAAATTGAAAATTTTCAATATTCTAAAATTTGTGGGAAAATTTGAGATGACATGCATGCTCACTTGAAGAAAAAATATCAAATAACAGAGCTTGTAGTTAAAAACTGTAAAATTTTGTTTGAGGGATTTTTCTAAATTCTTGAACCATGTTAGAGCAAAGCCAGAAACTGTGTTGTATGGTGATTTCCCCAATTTTCAAATCGTGTTAGTGTAAAACTGCACCATAGAAGTGCCATATTGCACGAGGGATACCAGTACTGCAAGTTTTAAATTTAAATAAAAAGATTGGACCAACCTTGCAACTGTGCAGATAACGAATCTCTTTGCTGTAAGCATTTTTCACGAGAATTTTCTATTTCTTTAAACCGGGAATGAGTTGTTTTCAATAAATATACGACACAACATAAAGCTGCTCCTAACAACACATAAAGGAAGATACGCAAGCGAGAATTCCGCATGACCGATCCAGTCAACGGAATCTTTTGATAATCATAGGGAGACAGTTTCTCTGTAAAATGATATATATTATTTAACTGAAAGAAAAAAAAATATTCATTTTATTCAATTTATTTATCTAAACTATGGAAATAAGATTCAATATCTTAATGATATTATTAATTTTGGCATTATATTAGTGAAGATAATAGTTTTATGTTAATACAAAAGTCATTACCCGAACTAAAACAAATTGTCAGATTATTCATAGGCTTTGATTTATTCATGATTTTTCATTAAAGGCAAGAAATTAGAAGTTGTATTACCAGTAATACTGTTACTGATAATACTCTTCCTACTACCAATATTCTTTTACAAATATACATTTAACATTCTTACAGTTTGATAGTCTTCTATAATAGTCATCTTATAATAGTTACTGCCTTCTAAAGCCTGTGTAAATTTCCCAACAAATGTTAGAAAAATAGTACTGGATTATGCTGAAATATTTTCTTGCAAGAAAACCCCAGCTTCATTTAGTGTAATGCAAGATAAATGGACATCAACAAGAAATGTGCCAATGCATGAATGTAAATAATGGGCAGAAAAAATAAATCATGAGATATTAATCTTCTACAGGTTAATGGAAAAAATGCTAGTGGAAAAATGTTGAGAGATATTTCAAGCTAAGTTAGCAATGTTCAATATTTGTTGCAAAGACATTGTTACTTTTACCACAGATAAAGTTGTAATAATGGAGAGATTTAGTCATTTATCCCCAATAATTCATCTGCTATACTTATGGACAATAATTGACTGAAGTTCTTTATGGAAAAGTTATATCTTTATAATTAGGAGGAAGATATTTCATTCATTCAGTTCTATAAATTTTCCAAAGTTGTAAGGTTTTACATAGTTCAATTTTAAATATGTAAACTTTTAAAAGCCGAAGCATAATATTTTATGAGCAAAATGCTATAAAATAATTCATAAAAATCAATGAAAATGAGAAGTTTGTACAATTTTCAGTTTATTAACAAATTAGTTTAGAGCTTCGTGTACAAAACTGGATAAAATAACACAAATGGAAACATACAAAACATTGTATTCCATTTATGTAGAAAGCAAACGAAAAAAAAAGAGACATTTTCCATTCACTTCCTTTTCTCTATTTTTTTAAAACTCATTTATCAGTTTTCTTAATTACAAAGCCACACTCAACACCAGAGATTTATTTTAGTTGGAGATGAGTTAAGTGTTAGAATAGAACAAATAGAACACAGTGTTTTATAAGTATTTCCATTTGTATGTAATTTTATTTATTTTATAGGCTTTCAAGTACTACATGCAAACAATGCTCTAAACTTCCTCTGAAGTTGACTGTGGCTTCCTAAACAAAAGAATTAATACCCAAGTTCTGAAAATGTTTTAACACTGACATATTTTAAAGATGACCGAAAAGCTTACAAGAAAATAAACAAAAATAAATTTTGTGTTTAAATATGTTCATTATTCATTAACTTATTTAAAAACATTTAATTTTTAAATCAAATTGACAAATATGAAATTTCAAAGGGAATACCTGGATTTTTCAACATAGAAATCAAGAGTTAAGAAAGGGTAACTTGAAAAACTCTTCTCATTGCATGTTAAAGCAAATCTAGTTGTCCAATCTACGAATTAAAAATAGAATTAAATTACTTTTAATTTTGTAAAAAAATAATTGTTAATAAAATAAAGTAATTCATTTTAAATTTAACAATAACAATTTACAATTAAATTAGAGTTTAAAAAATATTATTTGGTTTGCAATTCTTGCATTGCTAAAATTAAAGTGTGGGGTGTATGTAATGCTTAGCAATACTCCATAACACAACATGATCATGAAAGAAATAATGTGGCTCCGACAACTAAATTAAATAAAATTACCATTGAAATAAGTGCAATTTCATTTCAATAAATTATTTGAATAAAATATGTATGCACATATATACATAACACTCACAGAAATGAGAACAAGATCCACTCTAATATGTATTTGAATACAGCCATTATACATTTTGGCAAGTTATAGGCTACTTGCTTCTTTGTGATAAAGTTCAATTGAAACTGGTGTTTTCGGCATTTATTGTCCTGATTGTTGGAATACTCCGTTTCTACAATAACATATGGGATACATTGCTGTCTGATTATTACTTTAGGTAATGGTTTGGAAATATGATGGCTCATACAGATAAATTGTTTAGTTAAACAAGCACTGAAAGTTCTCAAAATATCAAAAAATGTCTTTATTAAGTGAAAGATTTTGCAATGTCTATTATTCCATCGTCTGTGTTCAACAGATGTTCAAACTGCCAATCCTAAACCATTTATTCCAATACTTGGTCCTTCTCTTTATTATTATATTTTATCTAAAAGTCAAAATTCAGAATACCAATAAAACTGACCATTTCTCAAGATCTGGAACTAATACTAATACAACTAATACAACAGTAATTGGAAAACGAGGACTTTCGTTCAACAGCAGGTTCAGCAGAGGAATGTCTCAAATAACCACCAGACCCAGTTCATGCAGTCAGTTCTCACACCAGAATTCATTCCTCGAGCAGTATTTTTTTCCATCGTGACATCTAAAAGTCCGATTATCATTTTGAGATGTTTAAAGAACAAAATGTAATTCAAACTAATTCATATCTACATATATATTCTGTATACTCAAATGGGACAACTTGTTTAGAATTCTGCAATTCAAACATTTTAAACTACAACGATCTGTTAATGAAATGATAAACATTGCAAAAACATTAATCTATAATTTAATAATAAAGATATTTTTCTGGTTTCTTGAGCATTTAACAAATCGATATGCATTCTAATGTGTGTTAAAATCTAGGTTTCTTTGCTATAGAATTGATGTATATATTAAGAGAATATGCACAAACCATTTTTGGTATTCCACCTGTTGATATAAAACTGATACTCGTGCATGGAGTTTTGCTGATGTATATAAAAATTTATATCATCATTTAAAACAACAACAAGGATAATAGGATTATCAGCATTTTAAAAATTGCAGCTTTAATATGCTTATGGCCTAGTTTTAAATCTTCAGTAACAAACTGGCATTGCAAGATTCATTCAACGTTACTAATTACCAGTCAGAAAATATAGGTCATAAGAAAAAAACTTACATAGAAGCTCTAACAAAGGAATCTAGAGAACGAGTTAACTATAAAACAATATTTATCCATCCTCTACTTGTACTTCTTTCTTATTGTAATTGAATCTTAAGAAAAATAGTTTTAAGATAAAAATAATATATTTAAAAGTCAAATTATCTTAATGACTATCTTTTGTCCTGTTAAATCTTTCAGATTAAAATTTATTATTATACAAATTAAATAAATAAAGCACACTAATATTTTACAATGAGTTAATTTTAATGTTACTTTACAAGCACATGTGCGTGCATGCATGCATATATTATACATATTAGTAAGTATGTGGAACAAAGATTTATTATTATTATAGAAAGATAAACAATGTTCAGTTACATTTAATAAAATTTCAACTTAACTGCTATTTAATGCTTCTTGCAATTAATAATAATGATTTAAGTAACGATAAACATATGCTAGTTGGAAGGCAGCAAGATTTAGTTTGATGAGATAAGCCAAGAAATATTATGAAGAACTTTAAGTATCTCAAATGCATTCCTAGTCTTTGAAGAATGAGCAAAATCCCTTTCAACTAATGACTATAACAATTTTATAAGAAAAGGTTGTAAAGAATGAAGAGTATAAATGGGAAAAATTGGTTTTTTACAAATGAGAGTGGACAGAGTATCCAGAATATAGGAGACTGTCAAGTCAAAAGAATTTAACAGATGTCTGGCTACTCTCTTATTTGAGAAACAGTTCAAAGGGTTTAGTATTCATCTCCTAAAAATTCAAATATAAAAAATATTCAAACTCCAACTGTTATCTTCATATTATATATCATCAAACATAGAAAACTAGTTAATATATAGCAATTGACTTCATTTTCAAACATCAAATTCTCACACAGTCTATATCAGGGATGGTCAACCGGTCGACCGCAAAAGTTTTGAAAGTAGCCATGAAGCTAAAGTTGAACAATTTGCTCTCACTTAAATTAATGTTTAAAAATCTAAATTCGATAATTTTTTCTTATAATAATAGACTGTCTGTGAAACGTACCCATACTGTTTGTATTTATCCCTATGAACAATGCAAACGAATGTTAACGCATGCGCATATAAAAATCCTAAAATTGTTTGCCCATATTCATAGTCGCCCACAGACTATATTTTACCAAAAAAGTAGCCCCTAAGGGATAAAAGTTTGGCCACACCTGGTCTATATTCTTCTATTGATACAAGCAATGTATTCAATATAAGAAAGAATTATATTCATTTTCATTACCAATTTGCACAAATTACAGACGATTCATCCCATTTAAAACAAATTAGAGATTTTGGAAGACAAATGGCAATGTTCCAGAAACATTTACTTAATAAATTAAGCTCTATCAAAACAGAATATCTTAAAAGTAATTTTTACATCAAAACATCTGTTTATCTGAACAATATAATAAAATGAATCAGTAGACATAAATACAAAATTTTTGTCAAGCAACTTAATGTGTAATGATTTCACGAAGGTTATGATTTTATATACCGTTTTACATCTATTCACTTATTTTCCAGTTTTATTCCGGTTTTGTCGCCGATTTTTATACATTGTAATTTATTTATTTAAATTATTATTATGGATAAAGCTTTAAAAGTATGTATGACTACCACCCCCATTAACAAACTCTTGAGCTAAAACACAATTTTAGAAATTTTAAGACAAAATAAACAAAAAAGTAATCATCTAGTTTTTGCTTAGAGATGGTCAGGACCTGTCACAATTTCTTATTCAGAATGCATAGCACTGAAATGATGTTTGGAAACAATCTTTTACATTTTGATGTATGAATTAATGATTCACATGACATTATTCTTGAGGAAAAAAGTATGAAAACAGAGAAAAAATATATATTTTATTTCATGTAAAGAAATTGTATACAATTGTTATACACCCTTATACATCTACTTGCATTTTGCACTATAAACGTGTTTCCACACGTTCAAATATCACCAAATGCCAAGCAAAGATTTGACCAATAAAGAGTAGTGTGGACGATTTACTCGCGACTAATATTTGTATTCGCCATTTTCCCCACTCCTAGTCAGTATGTTGTGCCAAATCAGACGACCAATAAGATATTATTCACAAATACCAACTGAAACTTTCCAAACAAGATGGACCAGTGCCAAGCAAGCCTCCAAAAGAAGTCATGAGACAAAAAAAATTTGAGAACCAGATTAGATAAACCACAACACACAAATGAGGTCAACTTGGACAAGCAGCCGAGCCCATCAAAAAGAGAAACAACGATAAACTAGCTCAACTTTGACGAGTCCAGTTTCCATTAAAATATTTTAGAAAGTGATACTCGACGCAAGCAAATGAGTTCAAATGGGGCAAGTTTTTAAGTCTAGGAAAGTGATATGGCTTAAATTAGGAAAGAATTATACATTTTATCATCAAATGTTTATATGCTTATAACATATAATTAATTTATTTCACTTACTGTACATTCAGGAACATTTCCTAGCAGAAAAGAATTGTAAGATCTTTAATAAAACATTTTAAATGTAGTGAGCCCACATAAACAAAACAATGTTAAGTGGGTAACAGATAAAAGCTTGACAAGAGAAAGCTTCTTCAATTTAGGATTTGGTACATTTGAAAAATAACACTGAAATTATAAAATTTTTGATATAGTAAGTTATTCTTAATGAAAAATATAAACAAGAAAAAAATTTTAAGAGATTAAATAAGTTATATAAAAACAGAAAATAAAATTAAAATTTGGTAATTATAAAAAAAAATTGAAGTAATTAAATTTCAAGTATAGTAATACCCCGAACTCACGCAATAGGTGGGACCGAGCGATAATCGCGTAAGTCGGGGTATAATTTCGCAATTTGTGTAAAATCCAAGTCGAATGTATGTAAGCCAATAAATGTTCTCGTTAATCTTATCTCGTCTTTTAATTCGTTCACGGTTACAAGAAATCACCACATAGAGTTTCTCGAGTCTCAGTAGATATAACAAACACAGAAATAAATAACACAAAATGAATTGTAGCTACGGGTCGATTCTGCGCGACACATCCGAACATGTAAGCTAAACAATAGTATGGGGGGAGTGAGTAATCAAGAGTTGCGTGGCGCTCAAACAAAAGACGAATCGACGAGATTTAAAAAATGCGTAACTTCGGGTTCACGTAAGTCGGGGTAGCGTAAGTCGAGGCATTACTGAATCAATAAAATAGATATTTTCTGAACTAGTTCAAAAATAAATAACAATGTAATGAAGCGGTAAGAATTTCAAAATAGTTCTTAATGCATTTACATTAAGTGATGATAAATGCCAGGTGGGCAAAAAGTCCACAAAAACTTTAAAAATGCATAAAAGATGGAGGAAGAATTATCAGAATGAATGCAGTTTGCACGGTAAGTATCGTGAAAACAAAAAATAAGTAAGTATCGTACGGTAAGTTTTTGCAGTTGATAAGGGGAAAAATTAGTTCTAAAATTTACCATATGTGGCATTGACATACAAAAGACAATGAATAGACATGCAAACAACAATGAAGATAACTTTCAATATGTTTATTAGAAAACAAGTATTTGACATGTCCTCCATCATAGAGTATAACACACAATTTAGTATAGTAACAACAGCTGCAACAATGGGGTGCAGCATATCCAGATAGAAAGTTGTTAACTCACTGTTCACAGAGATGGGGCTTTTAAAGAAATTCTTGGGTGCTCAACATTGGATACATGTTAAATTTGCATACTTTCAGCATATTCATCTGTGACAGTGCCACTAATTGACGGAACTGTCACATTAAATTCTACAGGAGATAAATTCTGATTGTCACAGACAATCAAAATTTATCTCCTATAGAATTTAATACTGTATTTTCTTCTTTTAAATTTGATATACAGTGGGTGATCGGTTAACGAACAGATCTGTTAACGAACAAATCGGATAACGAACACTTTCGCGAAAGATTTTTATGATCAGACAACGAACACATGTTCGGATAATGGACACTTCACTGAACAGACATAAAAAAAAAAGCGACGAAAATAGCAAATACTAATTAATTTCCCCTTGTCTTCAGACAACAATTCGAAACTTTTCGGAGCATTGGAGACGTCGACATTGACACTCAACTCGGAATATACTGATCAGATAGTAGTCCTCCGAACTTTGAAACTCTCCCTTGTAATTCCAGCCTTTTATTTTTCTGACAGAAACAATTCTTTTATAGTATTCGCGAGATGTCTGATGTTGCTGGGCAGTATGGCTTGAACAAATCTACAGTAGGGTGCAGTTCAATCTTATCTAAGAAAGATAAAGTATAATCAAGAAGACTCAAGCAGCTAAAGGAGTAACAAAAATCACTTCTGAGAAATAAAGAACATTAAAGAGCTCATAATAGAACCTGAAACTGATCTGACGACAGAAGAACGTCAAGAACTCTTAAATAAAGAACACCAAGAAACTCGGCGAGATATGTTTTATTATGAAAAAGAGGATTGATGCCGATATCTGCTATTAATTAAAGATCTTTTGAAGAAGTGGGGGATGTCAGATCAACGGTCTTAGAATGGCATAAAACCAGGTTGAGATTAATAGGCTTGGGGATCTCTACAATTACAATGCTATTACTGTAATTACTTTTGAAAATCCTGAAGAAGAGAGAAAAGCAATTGACTTTAGACAGATTCCTTAACCCCCACAAACAAAAACAAAACATAACTAATAAAAATTCAAGACTGCGTATATATGTATTTTTATTATTGCATATAAATGAACGTAGTAAGAAAGTATATATTTTTTAATTTTTGGGGTCTCCAGAACGAATTAATCAAATTCCCATACAAACAAATGGTAAATTGATAATCGGTTAACGAACAAAGTCTTGGAACGGATTATGTTCGTTAACCGATCACTCACTGTATTTTTTTTTTGAAATTACAAATGCAATTAACTCACATAAAAACTCTTACTGTAGATCTGATAGAATTCCTATTATTTTTGTAAAAAAGTTCAGCTGTTTTTACAGCTGTCTTCAGGTAGATCTTCCCAGAATTGCTCAATAATAATTGTATGCAAGGATGTTCTCAGAGAGGGGTGCTTGCCCCTTCTCGAAATCAAGTAAACAATTCCATAAATTATAATCATAAAAGTGACAGACCTTACATCCTCGATCATGGGATGCTTTGATGCAATACTACTGTATATTTTATAATCTACTTATAATAAAAACCCTAAAAGAATTGAATAATTAAATAAAAATTTATTGATATAATTTGTTGTCTCCGAGCTTTCCCCTTCGGAGCTGAAAAATGTTATGTGGATCCCAGCAATTTCATACCTAATCAACGAATGGACCTACATATTACTCCGTATCTAAGAAGGATAAAATCTCACATAAACCAAATTATACATGTTGCAAGCATGCTAAAAATTTTTGAATGTTACATTTATAAAAGTATAAAAATCCAAATCTTTTCAGAATCTCCATAGTCCAACACAATAAAATTCCTCAATGCTCTTGTATGACTAAGCACTTGACAGTAGGTGAAATCTTGTGAAATTTTGAAGCTAAATAATCAGTTTATGCACAACATAATATACCTTCTGTATTACCTGAAGATGGGCCTTAAAATTTATGACAATGGCATTAAAATATATGTTATGGACAAAGTGATTAATACGGGCATTATGAATAATGACCAACAAAATCGGGCATTGTAATAAATTTCAATAATTTATCAAATTGACCGGTCATTATGAATAATGCTACCACCTAGTCGGGCAAAGTGATAATAATACGTTGAGGAGTGATCATCCAGCATACGTTAGCCAATCAGAACTTACATCTTACTTGCTCAAGCATATTGTATATAGTACCGAACTTTAAATTTATGTGACCAGTAGTTAATCTTTCTTCTTTGACAAAAGTAACGATCATGAAGGAATCATTAAGTGATATGAATAATCGCTTCAACAACCGATTAAATGAGTTAAAAACCAAAAGGGCTGAAGAAGTAGCATATGGTCTTTTAGATATTTTTACAATTTTCAGTGCACCAAGTATTCTACAAAGCGATAATGGCAGAGAATTCGCCAATAATATCATCAAACAAATGTGTAATATGCGGTCCAAGTTAAAAATGGTGCATGGAAAGCCCAGGCACTCACAAAGTCAGGGTTCAGTAGAAAGATGTAATCAAGACGTAGAAAATATGCTTAGTTCTTGGTTGGAGATTAACAATACTAACAAATGGTCGGAAGGATTACGTTTTGTACTACTGATGAAAAATCGAGCGCATCATACTGGTATAAACTGCAGCCCCTATGAGGCCATGTTTGGAGCAAAGTTAAAAGTTGGACTAAAGAATTTTATACCCAACGAATCGTTGTTCAACGTTAATACGGAAGAGGATCTACAGAGACATTTTAAAACTATCAACGAAGTAAGTCAAAGTTGCTCAAACTCTGAAAGTCCGGGTACCGTCCAAGAAAACATTATGAAATATTATCTGATAATGCCACCCTTACATAGCAATATAACTGATGAAGTTCAAAGATCTACATCGTCTTCACGTGAAAAAAATCTAAACCAGGATGTTATTAGTATTACAGAATTGGTGAATGAAGAAGAAACAATCCAAACAATTGATCCAAAAAAAGAAGAAAAAATAAGAAGTGTGTCTAAAACAAGGGCTTTGTTTAATCTTAAAAAGCAAGCAGAAAAAATGATTAATACATCAAATTCCAAATACACAGCAGCTATTGTTGGTGATACAGTAAGGATTCGTGTACCTGATGAAGATCGAGCCCGCAGTGATGGAAAAAATATTTTAGGTGTCGTTGTTGCGGTTAAAGATAAAAACCTTTACAAACTGGGTACCAAACATGGCATATTAAATCTATTATATTCCAGAAACCAATTTACTGTTTGTAAAGAAAACTTTATTTCTGTTGGAGATGTACCGGGTGCAGAAATTTCGCTTAGAGAATGTGCAAGAATGTCATCAATTCCTGATGGCCACAACTATAGTTAATGCTGCTGAAAAATTGGTTGAAAATCTAATAGATGCAAATGCTACCAAAGAAAAAAAAATTATGTAATTCCAAATGTCATGAAAATGTTAATTGCTCAAATAAATAAACTAAAAAGCATTTAATTTTTTATATAATTTATACCAAAAATTGTTAATAATACTTTTCGTTAATATTAGTTTAATTAATATAGTTAATAGTACTTTGATATAATTTACAAAAAATAAATATTTATAAATGAAATAAGTGGAGTTTTTTTAATCAAGTTTAAAATTCTGTACTAAACGCTGTACGATACGCACACGCAACTCAGCGTGCCGATTGGCTAGCGTATGTCAGATGATCACTCCTCAACTTATTATTATCACTTTGCCCGACTAGGTGATAGCAGTATTCATAATGACCGGTCAATTTGATAAATTAATCAATATTTATCATACTGCCCGCCCTATTTGGTCATTATTCATAATGCCCGGTCATTATGAATAATGCCCGATTAATCACTTTGTCCATAACATATATAACAATAACCCCAATCAACTACAAGAAGATTTAAATTTGTTAGTAGAAACTTTTAAATCTCATTGTAAACATAAACTGAACTTTGTGGTCTGCTCTTCCCTTCTAAATTATTTCAGATAATCTGGAATTTTGGATAATAGAGTTTCCACCGTATATTGCTACCAGGGTAAAATGCAATACATCTGTAGATATATTTTTCTATTTATGTTATCTGCAGCATATAAATAACTTTTAAAACATTTAAGTATAAAGTAAATAAAAACAAAATGTAATAAAATGAAAAATTTGACATATATGTCTAAAGGTTAGAGAGAGTAAATTATAAGAAAGTACAAAATTTAAAGAATATAGTTAAAGATAGAACTGACTAGGATGTGAGATAGATTAAAGACAAAAACAATAAAAAAACTCTACAAAAACCTAGAAACCAGCAAAATTTCACTTACTATTTGTGCAGATGTTTTCATCCACTTTCAATTGGACATTTTAAGGCTGTAGACCACATGATTTGAAATTGACGTCTCATAAGTTTTGAATAATTTGAAAATGTGTGGAAACTGATGAGACAATCAGTTTCAAATCATACAGTTACAATTCAATCTACAGCCTGAAGATGTCCAATTGAAAGTGGATGAAAACATTTGTATGAATAGTAAGTGAAATTTTGCCATTTCTAGGTTTTGGAGTCAGTCGATTTAATACATTTTAATCAGTATTCAGCTGGCATCTATTACAATATACTTAGACAAGATAAGGAAATGATGATGATGATAATTATTAAACAGACTAAACAATCCAAAATGTAAGAAACCTTTTTATCTGACATAAATTAAACAAATTTTCACAGATAAAAAAAAAAGGCAGTAGTTAATATTCTGCAAACTGTCAGTAGATTAATTCACAGTTGATAGAATATTGTTTATTTTCAAACAGCCAATTAATTTAAAGTTTAGTTTTTGATAACTAAAACATAATAATGTATATATATATTTTTTTAAATGTTTCATGAAGTTGGATTGAAGATATTCTTAAGATAAACTGGAGATCATATAAAAATATTATGGTAAAGAATTTTAATTTGTAACAACAACATAATGAAGAATCCTAATTATAAAAAAATATACAAAAACAAGAATTATATTAATTCTAGTTTTTATATACAGTATACCAAAAATATTTATGAATATCTTAGTGACATTAATGTAAGAATTACTACCATAACTCTGATTATGCATAATGTATATGATCATAGTTTGGTTGAAGAAGAATTTAAAGTTGTTATAACAGCTACAGGAAGTTTACTTCCTGTATCTGTTATAACAACTACAAGTGTAAATGCTATAGGTTTACCATATATAAAACATGTTACCAAAACAAAAATATTGAAAATTTCTGTTTTATCATTTTCACTATCTTAAAATTAAAGCAAAATTATCTTAAATTTGCACATTTGTTTTAGAAAAACTTATATATTATAGAATAGTCAGTGTTTACAAGTGGTGTTCTTGACAATTTTGTAAATTGGTAGAACACATTAAAAAAAGGAAACAATTTCAAGCATATTTCTGTCAAGATATTTTAATTTAAATAATTTTTTTAAATTAACACAATATATAACTTCTGTTAAATCCAATTTTTAAAAAAAATGTAGCTTCCTGTTTATTGTGTATAACAGAATCTAATTAAATAATTATCAGGAAGTTTTAAAAATAGTTTTGATATGATATAGTGTGGTACTCTTTAACAAATATATATCTTTGGAGTCTCTCCAACTATATTAATTTATATACATATTAATAAAAAAAACAAACATCAACATAAAAACAACTTAATCCAAATGAAATAATTAAAAATAAAATTTATAAATTTATTTCGTGTATAAGAGCCTAGAGGGAAAGCCTCTAGGCTCTTATAAATGAATTATTGGATTTGCCACAATACAACTGTCACACAAATGTTAATAAAAGGTACTTATTAATCATTCAAATATTTTTAATTTTTAAGTTTGAGTACTACTGGATCTACTACTGGCATCAATAGTATATGAACTAGCATACACAGACAACCCTGTGAACCTCAATTTATTGTTCAACCCGCTCAGATCCCACTGCTTTTATTTCATCTTATTGTAAACTGCAGAATTAAATTGGTAGTTAATAGCACAGCTCAAAATCAATTGGCTCAACTTGCAATATTTTGCCAGCCACAGCTGTAATTTATACTCACCACAGCATAAAGACAGCTTAACACATTTGGGTGTCTTGATATGAAAAAAGCCAGAATACAATGGATGATGATGAATATCTATGGTACAAGATAAAATTTTTTGGACTCCAAGAACATCACCAGTTTTTGTATATTATTTTTGAAATGATTAATGAAAAATATTAGCCAAATAGCAATTATACAGCTCTTGCAGCTGTGGAGCTGTAGAATTGTGGTTGCCATGGAAGGAGCGACAACAGATATGCCATAGCAAGCATAGGAAGAAATTGCATATTAGTTGGATGTGTGCCACATGACATAAGGTGTACACACTGAGAAACATAATAGGCAAATGTAAAACTTTGGACAGTTTTCCAATGTTTTAAGGTACATTATGATATTCTTGAACAATAATTTAAAATGATAGCATTCTTTCTTGAAAACACTATATTTTGCAATTAATATTTTATTTAATCATACCTACTGACCAATTAGTGCAATCTTTCATTGCAAAAACACTCAACTAATCCAACATAACCCAATTAAAAAATCAAATAAATATAATACATCCAAGGAAAAACTCATCAATAAAGAATAATAAATATTATAACACTGTGTGTCAATCAACTCTTCCCCCTCACACCACGTAAACTGATTATTGTCGACCATATAAAACAGATTTAAAATAAGCAGAGAGAAATTTAAACTAGGGCTTAAATCTAGACTTTTATTTCCATAGACGACTAATGTAAACATTCATGTTTCAATTTGTGTTAAAAATTTCTATTTTAAGCAACTTACGTACAAATTTAAAGTCTCTAATCATGATAAATTTTATATTTACGCATTTTAAAATGCATCAGCATCTAAATTAATTGGTTTTATTTATAGCATTACACAGGATTTGAAATTTTAAAAATTATCAATCCACTGACACAAATTTAATTTAAGCCTTAAACTAGCACCAATCTTAAATTGTAAAAGATAAAAACTACTTAATGTTCATAAAAGAAAGCAAGAAATTTTGATTAAGAATGTTAATTTCTTTCGACGTTGAACAGAAGTGGCACTTTTATTGATTGTGACTCACCTGCATTTTTTATGAAGTTCATTGTTTCATGTACAATTATTTGTTTGCATTTTAAATGATGTAAATAACACAATTCACAGAAGTTAATTCTTTATAAACATTTGCATTATTCTAAATAACTACTATTATTTTAAATATACAGTCTGATCAAAACATATAAGGGTTTATTTTATGGACCATTATGTTTTTAAGCAATAAAATTAAAAATTACAAGGAAAAGAAGAGAAAATGAATATGCTCCTAATCCTGAGTCAAATTTCAAGTTTGTTCTATTATCTTTGTTGGCTTATGATAACATTATTAATTAAGTTGATTGATGTTCTGCTATTGTGCAAAACAGCCAATTTCAAAGAGCATCAGTATAAATGCATCAAATTTTGCTTTAATTTGGGAAAAATGCATGCAGAAATTGTTGAAATGATCAAAAAGCTATGTCACATTCAAAGATTTCTGAATGGTATAACAGATCTAAAAGTGGTTGCTTGCAGTGGCGTGCTGTCTGTGGAAGCTGCGGAAGTGCAGCTTCCCTTGTATTTTCTAAAATATAAATACATAAAATAGGTTATTGCTTCACGCCGACTTTATAATTATTGTAAAATACGTGTTGTGGCGTTATCATGGTGAATTATTCAAATATAAATATAAAATGTTCATGAGCACTTTCAGTAACGTACAGTTACCATCTTCAGGTGAAATGAATACTACAGTTTTCTGTATCAGAATTATAGCACTTCTTGAAAAAGCGGTGTAGCTAAATGGAACGTGGACTATTTTATTTAAATATTACAAATTAGATTGCTAGAGCTTCATGGTCACATAGAAACCATAGTTTGCAAATTTCTACAATTTTTCGTTCCATTTCCAAACATTTTTGAAGTGCAAGAAAATTTTGATTTATTTTGGAGTTCCATTTAGCCGCACTGCTTTTTCAAGAAGTGCTATAATTCTGATACAGAAAACTGTAGTATTCATTTCACCTGAAGATGGTAACTGTACATTACCAAAAGTGCTCATGAACAGTTTATATTTATATTTGAATAATTCACTGTGGTAATGCCACAACACGTAAGTGATTTTACAATAAATATAAATACATACTGTGCATTTATACATATGTATATATACATTTTACATAATTTTTTACATAAAAAAAAGTAAATACATTTTCATATTTTAATGTACTTT